CTTCGCGAGACTCCCATATCTAGTGTAGAAGTATGTAGAAATCATGACCAGCCAGGTTCCAGTCTTTGGATTGTGATTAGGGTCGTCTTCCAGCAGCACAGACATCGCTGTCGTCCAGCGCAAAACTACAGATTCAGCTGAAACAGTGAGACAGTTGAGATAAGTGAGCCGGCCAGTTCCATCATTCGCCAGGCGCTGGCAGCACAACCCGGCCGGCCTGACATGTTGCATCAGCGGGGCTTCCTCTTGAAACTTTGCATCCGTCCGTTTCCAAATCCTGGGCTGTACCAGCTTGCCAGGTCGGCCCGCTAACTTTCTTTACTACAGCCAGCTGGCCTGGGACACCGTTTTCAGAACATCCCTTTGGACTTGAGCTGCCACTGCAGGCAACACCAAAGCTGTTCGTAAATATCGAGGTGTGGTGTGTTTTTTCGACATTGCCTTGTGGGCCTGTTTCTTGACTGTGAGGCGCTGGAAGGCAACAAGCCTGACGTTTGCGTCGGTATCCCAACTGGTAACCGGCGCCGAAAGGTTTTTTGGACTGCCCCCACACCCGTCAAAGGTGCAGAATTGTGGTGGAGATCCGCACAGGCGCAAATCTAAGGTTTGCGTGGACATTGAGCAAGTTTCTGTAGGTTCCGCCGCTCGGAAGGTGTCCCTGGATTTCCCTCTTTGCTGGCGAGACCACGCAACTCAGCCTTGCTAAAAAGCTCCGCTGAGTGGTTCCGGGCAGGGAAGCCGAGGCGTGCGAGTGCTCCTGCTGCAGCTGCTCCAGCCCAAGGGATGCCGCCGGCTGCATTCGAAAGAATTGCACTGAGCAGCTACGTCAGATTCGTTGAGGTTTCGTTTTGCTCAGATGGTTCGCTTCGCGGTTACAGTGGAGACGAGCAGGCACGTACTCGTAGGAGATTGCTGGCACTAGCCTGCCACGCAGAGCAGAGAGGTGCCATAGCTTTTGCAGGCCACCATTCTTCAGCCCTGCACAAAATGCTGGTACACGGTCTGGGCGCAAATGCTCTGTCTGCGTTCTCTTTGTTACTAGATGCTTTTTGGCAGATCTTGGTGAGCAGTGCTTCGAAGCGCAGCAGGCCAAGCAAAACATCTTGGGGACAAGGATCTGTTTGCTTGACCAGGTTCAAGATACAGCTGGGAGCTGAAGGAAGAGCGCACCTGCTAGCAGTCACCCCAGAAGACCCGGGAGTCTGCACTTGGAGAAGCTGTTGATCCAATTCTCAGTGGCTGAAGAGTATGCGTTCATTGGAGTGTAGGCATGTTCAGAAGCGCATGGGCCTTTACCTCACTTTGGCTGTTCAGTGAAGGCAAGTGAGTCTAATTGTCTGAAGTAATGCTGAACGACTGATGATTCAGCCTGAGATTCAGTCGAAGCTTGCCAAACTTTGCTGCGCATGTTCACCGTGCAAGGTGGAGGGTGAGCCCTTCAAGGGCCATGCAGACAGTGGGGATGCATGTTCTTTGCTGGCGCGGGCCTTCTGTTTTCTCATCCCTGCAGAGTTTTAATCGCTCACCGGTTCATACAAGGCCTACGACCTCGCGCAGTCCACAGTTGATGCGAGGGCAGATGCAACTCTTCAGATCGCCATGACGCCTGCGTGGGTCCCACCCTATTGCAAGAGATTTGGCATTCAACATCGCGCATTGGATTTCCTACTCTTTCCTATTGGTCCATCGAGCCACTGTTTTTGTCAAGCAGGTTTACAACTATGTAGTATCTTGCTATTGCTAGTCCACAGCCAATTCTTGATGGAGAAGCATGCTGTCAGCATCACCGTAGCTAAGATCTACGGTGATCCAGCGTTTGATGTGAGAAAGGGCTTGAAGGACAGCTGCTGTGTTGTCCGTTCACATGCAGCACTCAGAGCTCTCCTGTCCGGCAGGAAGAGCAGCTTCTTTTCAACTCATCTGAAGCTGGTCATTGCCCTACTGGCCCTTCTGTTGACGTTTTGATATCTTATGAGTTCTCGAACGAAGAGACGCGACGCAGGCCGAGACTCTTGGCAGCTCAAGTTGGATGCCAAAACTGCGAAAAGTGTAGCGGGAACCTACTACATTCGCGTGAGGTGCTGAGGAGAGTTCAAACTTGCACCATGAGACCACTCCTTGGAATTCCAAGGTGTGCGCAGGGCTTCAACACGCGTGCTGCTGCGCGTTTGTTCCAGAACTTGGTTTGGCTTGATGCACCATGTTGTTCTACAGCAACATGTGCACCAACGGTTGCCAAAGCTGTTACTTGAGCCAGGCAGTTTCGCATCGCCGTAACGTGGGACAGGCCCCTGCTGAAGTGTCAGCCTCAGAAGGTCACTTTGTCTTCAAAGCTTGCCGGCTGCCTGCAGAGCAGTATGCCGCTTTTAGGCCGGGCAGCGACGCAAAGCCCCAACCTCGTAATCTCAAGGCTGCAGATGCACCACTGGATTTTGGGTGTTTTCGTGTCCCAGGAAGCTTGGAGTGGGGATGCTGAATGATGGCGAGGCAGATTGCCATCGGTTCTTGCAGTTTTACAGCGTACTTCACATGAACAGATGTGAAGGCTGGAGCTTGATTTTTTGTACCATTCGCAGGTCCAGATGGGGACTATCTCTGCAAACAAGCCAGGAGCTGGGATGTGCTTTTTATTTCTCTTAGTCATGCGGCTCTCAAGAGAAGAGCAGACTCAGGCACAACATCTACTTATTCATTCCAGTGGCTCTCTTAGCAGCTTCCTGTACGACAGAGCGAGGTCCATGTGTCTTGTTATCTGTCAGGCTTCCGTGGAGCATTCTCCAAGTATCAGGGTATCTGTGACGTCTACGAGCATGGTTCCCAGATCTAGCGCATCCGTTCTTGCCGCCAGGTACAGATTCCAATTTCAAACTGTTCTGCACCAGGTGGACATTGCCAGCTGTATGTGCTTGCTCCGAAAACAGGTGCGCAGGTTATGGGGAAAATCTTTTATTCAAGAGGAGATAGGCTCTGGCACTGGGCGTGGAGGATCTGAGGACAAAGTGAAGGAGACCATGCGTGAGTTCCTGCGGAGCCCAGAGGTGCTTCGTCTGTGCCGACTCGATGGAAATGTCAAGTACAGTCAAGCTGAGGCTGTGGCAGACTGGAAGACTGCGGCAGCCCCAAAGTTTCAAAGCAGTTCTGCTCATGCAGGGTCTATTCAAACAGCAGGCAGAAAAGGATCAATCAGAGATCCTCATCTCGCCATCGGATGCTAAGTGCGCAGACAAAAGTTGGAAGGACACAGTCTGCAAGTACTTCTTCTCTGGGCCAGAACACTGGCTTCCTTGCAGGTACATCGCCCCAACTGCGTCAAACCTCTACATGTTTATGGTGGCTGGAAGTGATGACACAGCACGGATCCAAGGGTGACAGACACATCTCTTTCCAGGTAACGTTTGCTTGGCTGAAAGGACTTTGAGATCGCTGCTTCAACGGGCGGTCTAGAGGCAAGTATGGTCGTGGCAGGTAAGAGATTTGTTGAATAGCGCTGTCTGTAGGAACTTCCAACTACCGGGATGCCGCTTCGGGGACAGGTGCAAGCTGGCGAGTACCGAGCTCAGAGCATTTGATGAATCCGAAGCTACGCGTGGCAAAGTTCTGATGCGCAGGTACCGAAGGTACCGAGTTTCCATTGCAGAGGCAGGAAAAGAAGAGAAGTGAATCTCCGATAACGTCAGACCATGTCAGATCGCAGGCTGGCAGACACCTGTCCCTGCAACTCACTGCTGAAAACGGAGACTGCGACCTCTATGCTCCTTGGCATTTCGCTGTTTTTGTCAGAACCGGTTTGGGGGGTTCAGCCAAGGTCCACATCATTCCAGACGTTTCGTCAGAAAGCTTTGTGTTGAGGCAGGCTTGAACACACTGCAAGCGTTGCAAGCTTTTCTTTCCTTCTTCTCGGCAGGTCGGAATCCCTCGGTTCGGACGCAATCTTTGTGGATGCCTACGGCGAGCTCAACCAAATGCATTGTTCTGAGAAGGCCGACATGTGCGCAGCACAACATCTCACAATGCATCGGCAGTGCACTCTGGACAGACGATCCGCACCTCCGGCGAGTGTGTTTACTTCGTTGCCGTTAAAGGAGTCTCCGCACGATCGGCCAAGCGCTCAGGATGCCCTGACCCCTCCGGACTTGCTGCAATCCCGTTCTGAGGATTTTCAGCTTGAAGCCATTGTGCCAGCGGCAGCACCAATACCGCTTACGATGCCTGGAATCCCGGGTGTGCTGCGCAAGTGGCTTGAAATCTGCAGATGCGTGGAGGTCTGCCGCCAATGCTGTCACTTTGCCACCAGGCAGTTGCCCGACCTTGCAAAAAGTTTGCAGAGACCGTTAAAGTACAGTTTCTTTATACCCCCATAGGCGACTCTATACTGAGCTGACAGAAGCGTGCGCAAGCTTGCCTGCTGGAGCAGGTGGAGTTCAGTACTTCTATGCACTTCTGCAGACGGTACGTGCCACTACATTTGAGGCATGCCGAGCATGACCAGGTAGTGTCACGGGAGAGTTTTGACTACCTTACAGTGCGCCCCCGCAGCTGTGGAGCCAAACATGTCGCAACAGCAATGGTCACCCACATCCTCATTATGGTGTGCCAAGACATGCTAACTGTACCACACATCTTTAGAAACCTGTGTCAGACAATATCCTGGCAAGCTCAAAGCTAGAGGTTGCTTCCAAGCTGCTCGCATGGCAGAAGACAGCAAAAAGGGCCTGGAGGGCTGTTCCCAGCGTGCGCTCTCTGCACTTGTGTTTTTGCTTGTGATCCTTGTGCTGGGCGCCCTTCCCCTGGCTTATCGGCGACTAACACATGGCCATGGTGAAGTGGTCGCAGCGTCGCAGGCAGACGCTGTGCCCAGCGATTACCGAACCAAAAGTGTTCAGAGTTTTTTGGATCCGGATCAGAGTCTACATGGGAAGGTGGTTGCGGACGATGGCTGGGTCAAAACCGGACAGCCCGATGACTTGAACATGCCTGCCCCAAGCAAAGCAGATCCTGAAATGATTAAGGAAGTCCTAAGAGAGGCTGAACAGCGAAGCAAGGAGATCCGGCATGGATATGGATCAGTGCTGAAGGCTTATGAGAAACTGAAGCATTTGGTCGCACACGAGCCATTCTTTCAAAAGAATTGCAAGTTGCCGCGCTTTGAAGTACTTGGCAAGTGTGTCTGCCCGGCAGGTACAACATGGGACTCCGATGAGGAGATGTGCTTAGAAGATACCGGCCTAATGTATTTCTACATGTACAGAGCGCAGAGTGAACACAACTATCCCATGAGCAACGTCGACATGGCTGATTTGGCCGGGGTTCTGTATTACCTTCACCATGAAATTGTGAAGACCAACTCCACGCCTGGTGTGCGAATGAACGGAATCACACGCATTCTCCGCTGGCTAGTAGCTGTGAGACCATCTCAAGAAGTGAGGCGGCAGAGTCTGCAGTTCATGCCTTTCGTAGCTTTTGATTCGGGCAGATGTAGTGTTCCAGGCTGCAATCGTCTGTGGGATCACTATGGCTTTGCCGTTGGCTGCCAGCGAATGGCCCAACATGGAGCAGATGCAAAATATGGTTATACAGCTCCCAACAATCCTTTTGGTGCCTGGTTTTCTTTGCCTGGCCCATGCCCTGAATTGCGGCTCGGGGAGAAGGTGGGAAGTTTCACATGCTGGCTTCTAAGGTCAGGGCAAACATAGGGCGTATTAGCAGCTGACAAGCAGGTTCCGCATCGCATGTTGCCCTTTGTAGACGAAAAATGAGACATGGCGCAGAAACTAGTTCAATGTGCCCCTTCCCTGTAGCTGGAGAGATTTGTGCGACTGGCAGGATGGACAATGCATGACGACATACAGAGGAGGATTGTGCGAGGACGTTACGCAGTTCGAGCACTGCACTTACAGTGCTGACTTTGCGGGTGAACTTTTCCTCGATGAGATAGAAGGCGTCGGGAACTTCAAGCATTGGCAGTCCAAGGGCAATCGGGAGTATGATCCCACAACAGACAAAGGGACTGGCACATCATTCTGGAACTTTCGAGCCAGCAGTGCTTGGTGTGATCGAAGGATGGCTCGAGTACATGAGCTGTTTGAGCAGCGATATCCTCTGCTGCCGGATGACCTTCCGGCGCCAGCTTGTTAATAACTACAGGTGTGTATGTGTGTGAGTGTATGACAGTACGTTGCAGTCTGTCTTGAAGACAAAACCGTTTAGTGTTCGTTTCCAGCTGGAAGTGCTGATGCACCTGCTGGCACGACAAGTTCTTAGTCAGTGCTCTCATTCCTTCTCGTTACAGTCCATTGCATTCAAGAAAATTTGGCAAAACTTCCAACTGGCAGTGGTGGCAGGGCTAATGAGAGCACAGTGGTGTCGCGCGCAGCTTTTGAGAAGTTGCCGTGAGAGGACCCTACATGCAAAAGCATGGCAGGGTTGCCAGATGAGGTTACCATAAGCCAAGCAGTCAAAAACGGACGATCCAATAGTCAACGAGGGATACTCATTGTTGTCCCTCAATTCGGCTCCGACTTCTTGCAGCAAGCAGATGCGTTGCAGGTGGCGGTACGTAGCGGGGCTCTGAAACACGTGACGCTGAAGGCATGATCACCGAGCAGCACGTGGTGGGCTGCGCCCCTTGCTTTTTGCAAGATCCCGGCAGGTCATGCCGTTGAAAGACGCCAAGCGTCCCAATGCCTCCAACCTTGGTGAGGCCCGGCCACACTGCTTTCTGACTTGATCTGCTCTGGCGTCCGACGTCCGAGCGGCCTTGATTCAGGTCGGTGTATCCGGCACCTTCTTTGCGGGGGCTTGGACCTCGGAACATGCCAGTGCATTGCGGCACTGCGGCTACAGCGGTTTCTGGCACACGGGCCTTCAGATGAAGCACCTGAGACCATGATGCTCTCCATGCCACACAATGAAAAACCAAGGTTTGGAGTCTTGTTCTCGAGCCGACAAGGTCCGGCCTCAAGCGTTTCGTGGTTGGTGAGTCATTCGTTCGTTGGTGGACAGATCAAAATCTGGCAGTTGTGTCAACTCGAAGACCAGAGCAACATGGCCATTTCAGCTGCACGGGCTCCCAGACCTTAGGCTGCTGGAGCTTTGCAACATCAGCTGCGCCGCTCTTATCATTCTACGAGGAGACAAGGCCGATTTTGCTTTGCACTTGTGCACAGCCAGTGCAACTGAAGGCAAGCTGAACTGTTAGGAACTCACTACCTGCACTGCCTCTTTTCAGTCAAGGCTATCGTGCTGCTTGTTGCCTATACCTCGTGGAGTGTCCTTCACAGTTCTTTGATGAGAGGCAGAACTCAAGCGTTTCAGCACCAGATGACTCCTGTGCGCTGTTGGAGGCTCATGAAAACGTGTTCAGCTGTCAATGAAACGAGCTTGCCTCACGATGTGCAGTCCCTTGAAGCTTCAACAACTGGCAGCTTGCACATGCTTTCTGGAGGCAGGAGTGCCATCACGCGGCAATCTCGTAGCTGCAGAGCGGGCATGCTACAACTTGAGGAGCAAGAGTTGTAAAGTGCAGCTCATGAGGAAAATCACAGTGTTTGGTCGCAGGATTTCCGACCGCAGTGACATCGCAATTACAGTGAGCCCCCTGACAGACTGCCGGCCCGAGGTGCAGGTCGCGACTTTGTTCAACGCAGTGTGCTCGTAACGCCAGTGTCCAAAAAGTTTGGAAGAGGGAAGTCGTCTTTAAATGTGTGAGTCCATGGGTCCTGAATACGACTGACTTGCGGCAGGTGACTCAGAAGTCTGGCATCACGAAGGCTCTTCCGGCAGATGTACGCTTGGGGTTCAGCGCCCAGTTCACGGCACTACCACAATCAGCTTCCTGGTGAGAGTATGCGCAGGGTTTTTCATCCGTAATCTCTCTGCCCAAGCGGCTGCAGGTATGTGTCAACCATACTGCGCCATGGAGATGTTCAACCTGGTATCCTGACTCTGGAGGCGCTATAGCTTGAATTGTATGAAGAGCCGTAGGTTCATGGCTTCTGCCAAAGATCATTGGGAGAGTTCTTGTGTGGACAGAGCCCTGAAGATGGGTAGTCATGTTGAGACTTCGCGGATGATTGCAGACTGCTCGAGCCTTGTTATGCAGCTAGAAGTGTGTCAAAGGTAGTTGATGGAAGGAACTCTAAAAAATTAGCAGCTTGTGGAGGTCTCTGCTGAGGAAGTCTGCCAGGCCTAGGGTAATGAAGTGTCATGGGTATCTCCTTCCTATGCCAAGCTACCATTGCATTGGCAGTTCGACGTCAGAGACCGGGCCCTACCTCTGGCCGAGCCATGCTGGAGATTCTGAGTTAGCGAGAGTTCTGGCACAAATGGAATTAATTCTTTCTTTGCCCTAAGGCTCAGCTGATCACGGGGGAGACAGTGCAAGTTGCCCCAGGCCCCAGCACACACGCGATAGAAACCGAAGCATCGGAAAGATGCTCAGTTGACGACAGGTGTGGGACAGCTGACGGCAATCGCCTTGTACAGCTTTTCTTGCCTGGCAAGGCTTGTACATGTAGCAGAGACTGACCTGAGGTGCTGACGCTCGATGCGCCCGCTTTCTTCACCACCTCGCAAAGTGCAGGCTGGAGGGGAATGCAGATTCACGTCGTTCATTTTTCATGACATCAGGCGCCAACTTCTTCAGCTACACCTCGCAGATACAGACGCCCAAAGAAACAGCGGCGCGGGAGTTTCTACAGGCAGTCTGCTGAAACTGGGAAGAATTTTGAACACAGAGAGTCCAGGCCCGTTGCTATGGTCAGTTAAGCTATTAGTGCGTGCTATCTCTCTCACAAATGTCTCAATGGTGTTGCTCAGATCCCAAGCATGCCCGGTTTGACCGCGCAAAGAACGAGCCAACATCCCAGCCAAGCAAGATGGACTGACATAAATGATCAGAAGCGTAGATTACGAAAGCTAGCCTCCGGCTCTAGCTTGAGTTTCTTATCAAGCGTTAGCTTGCAACAAGGGGTGTGGCGGGGACCCTCTGGCTCGTGGTCAAAAATCCCGGATTTTTCAGCCAGAGTGCAGGGCACGGCTGGTTTCGGGCATGACTCTGGGGCGCTTTCCGACTCTTAAGGAAGTCGTAAAGAACACCATATCAGACCCTTGAGCACGTAAAGAACAGTATTGTTGTTCAAAAGAACGGATAAAGGAGTGTGAAAGAGCACGTCAGCAGTGCCTCACAGGCAAAAGAATACCTGGTCAACCCATCGCATGAACCCTGGACAAGGTTTGTTCAAGCTTTCTGGCCTTCGTCCAAGGCCCCTGGTGTTTGAGCATAGGTACATACTGCATCTACTAGAGTATAGCAGACTCTTGTAGAGCACTCGGTCAGATAGTGTAGGTAAAATCATATGCAAAGTCTACATACACCTACATTTACAATGCATACTATTTGAGTGCCACACATTTTGGTGTCAATAACGAGTTTGTGTCCTGTAGCCTTCCTCATCCCCAGTAGTAAAAGAAAGAGAGTGCGCATCTGTATTCTGCCAGCGAGATCCTGCTCAGCTTTCGTCCCAGTCCCTCTCCCCCAAGTGAGCGGACTGAAAGAGAGACAAGGAAACCGTACGTAGCCTTTTTCCCTTCTGGGTGTCTCCCTGGAGGGGCGGGGGGTGGACGTGTGTCCTGATGGATGGGGCTTCAGCAACATACCGCTGCCTTTTCTAAGACAGACTGGGTGACAGCGCGCCCCCCGCGAGGAGTCAACTTTTCCTTCATGAGGAGCTTTAAAGTGAGTATATGGATCCAAGCCGTCCAAAATACTCACCATTGCGAACCTGGTTATCGTAGTAGTCCCCTCCATCGCAGGAGCTGAATACCTCAGTGTAGCACCTGATCAGGACCAGGCAGTGGGGTTGCTTCTGCGGCTGGCTTTGGGGTTGGGCAAAGGACAAGAACACAGGGAACCATGGGAAGGAACAGGGACTGCAGACCAAGAGGAGAAAGACGCTGAAGAATCGGCGAGGTGTCTAGCACGCAAGGATGCAGAACAAGGCACCTCCACGACGTATCAGGAGATACAAGGAGTACTGGAGAGGCGTAACAAAGAGGAGTGATCGCGCCACAGTGAGGCGTGTGATAAATGAGTGTGATGACGAGGAAGTTGCTGCGCAACGTAACTATGACATCAAATGCCCAACACCGATCCTACTGAACCGACTGAACAGACGGAGCTGAGTAGTATTTGTTTTATTTTCAAAGCGAGCAGGAAATTCGGCATGCAAGTCAGCAATTGGATGGCAAAGCTCACCCCTGAGGCTGGCACGACCGCTACCAATAACGAACCATGCAAGCAATTGGTGGAACCCGTGTGTTAGGATTAGTGGTATATTGGATCCTTAAGGTTATGTTGCCTTATGATGTTGAAGCAGGGAACGGGAAATTCAATGTTGAAGACAACCATTGCACAGCAAGGTCCATAGGAAGACAAATTCAGTCAGCTGCGTACCCGAGAGGTTGTACACATCATGTATGAAAACTTATTTCTCCAACCAAGCAGGCAGTGAGATGCAGGGGCGAGTGATTCGGTTCCTTCTGATGCTTGGAGGTTCAGGGGAGGTGCATAGAAAAATCACTTGCAACCCTTCCTCGGCCATTGCACCAGTGAGATGGAGGAAGTGCACACCGAAGGCCAGGGGGGGGGGTAAAAGAATAATTACGCACATTGACTTTCGAAAATCTTCCATTTTTTACCACCTGACCTGATCGGGGAAGTTGTGCTTGGGGCATAGCCCTTTTGCGCCCCCAGCGTGCCGGGACGCGCATAGCACATAGAAGAAGAAGAAGGAAACTGGAAGCTCAAAATAGATGTGAAGATCAGACGACCCGGCAAGCAGAGACAGGCGAACGGATCAGCAATGTGTCGAGGCAGAAGTAATGACTCTATCTGGCGAAGTCTCTGTGGATTGCGCATATCATGCGCCATACTTAGGCTGCCGTGTGCCATTGACAGAACGTGTTCTGTTGCCTGCTGCGTCTCATGTCCCGAAGTAGAGCTGAGCCCGCATTAGGTCGTACCTGCAGAGCACTCGGTTGAGAAGAAGAGGACGAGAAACTTGCATGTTTGACATAGCGAAATGTGCGATGCATTTGTGCGATCGAGCGGCGAAGATGTCTTTGAGCTGCATGCC